TTATTATTATTATTATTACTATTACTAAAATTATTATTGTTGATAGTTCATATTTATCAATTTTTGAAGTATAAAATCTTCGAAATTAATATCTTATTTGAAATTCCAACAGCTATGAGCTGGTCTATATGTATGTATGTGCAGCAGAAACAATTTTCTGTTTTCATTATATTAATATTCCTTTAACATTACATACAATCATTCATTGTCAATTCAGTGGTAATATCGGTACTTATTAACATTTGCGTTGTCAATTGTTTGACACGGTTTATCACTTATCAGTGATGGGATCCGACCGACAATTGTTCGTAAAAATCCGACAATTCCGACGGTCGGACTCCGAGCGAACAGTCTGGAAAGTGGGTTGGAATTCGGACTGCTGGAATAACGATATACCAATTAGGTCTGCTTGCGACCAGCCGAGGTTTCACCCGGATCCCACCACTATCATATATTCAACATGTCTATGTCATAATTTTCAGATTGATTAAATTAATCTGATCGTTATGCGACAGACAACAATTGCACGAACGAGACAATGACAAATTTTGAAATGCAACGACATTCAATGTGAGAAGATAGAGACGCAGCATAAAAACAATTCACCTGAACACACTTCTGACTGTTGATCATGTTTTCTGTTCAGAGAGAAGAATGTTCATCTGATGAGAAATGAAGATACAAAGTGTTGCGGATGACAGAGAGTTGAGTGTAATATATTGTGATACTTAAAATAAGGATAACATTGCTACGAACAGTCCAAACATCATGGATAATAATAGTGATAACTGCAATCAATTCGCTCAGCAAACGCTTTATCGAGTGTGGTTATCGTCACTTGACCTGAACTGACCCATAAAAGTTCAATTAATTTCGACGTTTCTTTGGTTTCGCGAAACCAATTTGCTTGTTGCCGAAATCATGGATGTGGCAATACTGACGGATGAAGGGATCACCGAGGATCATGTGCGGTCCCAATGCCATGCCGTCTATCGTAAACAACGCCAGCACACACCAATCTCGAGATACCTGCAAATCAAGTCCCCATAACCTTATCACCGGTGGCGTAGCAGATAATCACTCTTCTGCTAAGATCTCCTCATCTATAATCCTTACAATTAGTCCCATATTGCTTATTTATTGTTCACCTTTCTTCGAATTAAAACTTCATTATTTCATTTTTATCAGTGATATCAGTGGTCACCCGTAGCTTAACAGAGCATTTCCAAAGTGATCCGTGACTCATTTAACCAGCAAATCCAACTCATTACGAGTTTATGCCTCTCTTTTATCACCAATATCACTACTGTCACATTCCTTCACGCTTTTCTCCGCGCAGCTAA